ACAGCTTAGTGCACCAGCATCACCTTTGAGCAGCTAAGGATCTCTTCAACAACTCTCTCCTAGTTTTTCACAATACCACTATTACCAGCTGTATGGATTGCTTGGGCTAACTCTGCCTCTAATGTCCCCAACTAATGAAAGGTTGATTGCATTGCTTTGCTGCTGATTGCCACTATTACCCTCAGTACCACTGACTTTAGGCACAGCTCACAAGTTTAAGAAATCGCCTGTATTGGGCTGCAATTTTTGACACTATGCAATCAAATCACATTTCTCCTAGTTTAAAATAAAGTTGTTCCTGATTTAAAAAAATCCACACGTAGGCCTGTTTCAGTTACAGAAATATACAGCTCTTAAGAATGAAGTCTGTGACTAAAGAGCCATTTCTAATGATTTGCAGATACTTAAAATTCTGAGAAGGGTAAAAAGAATAATGATTGTTGGCTTAGTGCTGCCACATGCAAGACAAGTTACATGAGTAAACAGCTTTCTACTTTTATTAGTGGTGTGTAGCATCATGTAAAAAGTAGCAATTCTACAGCCTTGCCAACACCCAACTTTTAAACACCAGCAGTCAACAGTTTCAAAACTATACTATGTGTGCAGACTGTTACAGAAAATAGAACATAAAATGTAAAGTGCCTCATACACATCCATCTGCCTTCCTTTCTTAAGTTGTCAGCCTTTGGGTTTTAAACTCTTTAATAAAGTGTTTCAAACATAGTAATCACTACACAAGTTTGTGGAGGAAACCACAGAAGGCACTTTCGTGCTACCACTAGACAGGGTCAACACCAAATTGTGTTCAATAACAAAATACTAAATCCATAGACAATTATTTTGCAGAACGAAAAAAAGAAACAATAGTTCTGTTCAACAAACGTTTCCTATGTTCTTTCTAAATTATACTAATTGCTGCCCCACACTGCAGAACAGTAATATGTTACTCAGCCTTCTTTGTTCCACAGTAGAGTCACCTTTAATTTAAAAAGGTAAAGGACTCTGGTTAAAGACGCACATACACACTACAACGTTTAAAGGAGTCTCCGAAGCTTTCCAAAGTTTGATGTCATTCAATTCCGTCATTAAGTGTCAACTGAAGACCCGGGACAGGGGCTGAGAGATGCTGCGGGGAACTGAGACAAACCGCTTCCCCGTGCGCCCGTGACAGCGGCTCGCCGGGCCCGGGCCAGGGCTGGCTCCCCGCTCCCGGGGCAGAGGCGCCGAGCCCCGGAGCCGCAGCCAGCGCAGGC